GTAATTACCCGGATTTTATGAAAAATATTATAAAAAAGTTTTTGACGTTTCAGGGTGCTCTGAGCTCTAAAATGAGATCTGCTGATTCTCGTTTGGGGCTGTATTTTCAAGTTCACAAGTTAATAAATTAATGTAATGTATGTATTTGAATAGTTGAAACTAATTAATAGCTTTCTGAACCTCTGAAAGGATGAAACTGCTGAGAAGAGGTTTTATGACTGTAATATGCAGTATTTTAAATTAAATGCCTCTGTTCTCCAGGGCATCACTTGAGCTTTATTTTGGTCAAATGTATTAAAAAAACCATATTCACTGACCTTTCGGGACTCAAACCACTGTGGTTTATCAAAAGAATAATCGGTAAACTACCACACTACTCGGGTGTTTGAGCGATTTCTTTTTTAGCCGCATCAGCTCAATTGATAGTTAAATAAACCAAAAAACTTAGTGAAACGTGAGCCAGAAGTTTTCATGTTTTAACTGCCAGGACAACAAGCTCTGAGGACACTAACATTTAATATTTGCGAGGCTCACTGGCATTTTGTCCAGTAGGAGGCTAGCCTAACCCATACCTTATCCCCAATTTAAAATACAGTGCCTAACCCAAACTTCAATATTTATTTAAATTTGTGTTTTAAGTATCCCAAAAAGTGAATATTTCCTTCTGCCGTAGACAAAATCCCAAGAGATTTTGTATCTAAAGATACATTGGTTTATCAAGAATATTTATTTAATTTTTAGGCCATTGTATTACCTGTAGGGTAAAAAAATGTAAGATTGTATTTAATCACCCCAATACTGCATATCAATAGTGCTGTAACATTGGCCATTAACAACATTTGTTTTTATGCGGGCACAGAATTATGTTTAACTACAGCCTGAATGATTCCTGTAATTGGCAATGACAAACACGCATACATCCCAGCGCACTTGACTTTGTGGTTGGCTGCGTGTGTGAGCCAGCCTTCTTCCCTTATGTCCTGTGTGTGCGGTAAGTGGCAGCAGAACGCCCTGTGGACACTCTGCTATTTAGTGACCTAAAGGCTGAGAGCTTTGTTTGGTCTGCACTGCCTTCTCCGCCCTAGCGCTCTGATGAAAGACTGCACAGGCCGCTGGGTGGGTCCCCTGTGTATTCTCGCAGACTCCAGATGCAGTTGTTGTTGGCTTTTTTTTGTTTTGTTTTTTCTCTCTTCCGTCCCGACGCAGAGAGAAGAGGCTGATCAATAGTTAATGAGATGTAAAGTGAACGGTGGCGTACCTGGAGGTTGGGGGCTAAACGCTGCTGACACCGTGGGCCTGGCGCTCTCCATCTGCCAGTGAATGAGGCCGTTCAAGTGTCCTCCTCGTTCCCCTGCGCATCAAACTCTGCAGCTCTTAATACATGGTCACTTTACCAAGACTGAAGAGCAGTATTTGGAACATAGTAGCATGAATAAAACATGGCCTCTCATGTTATGACTGGACTTGCCATTATAGGACTTCAATGGCTTCTTGCTATAAATAATGTGGAATACGAGGCTTTGATTTAGAAACAACCGTGTATGGTGGTTCAGGATTGTTCTGTGCTAATAATCAATGAAGTCCGATCGATGGTTGATGGTGGTAGTTATGTGTTGATGTGCATAATTTTAATGCAGAGTATCGTCAAACCCCCTTTTCTTACTTTGAAACATTTGCTTGCTTATCAAGCTAATCTTTTCCTACATTTTTATATAGACTTCCGGAAAGGAAGTTTCACATGGCATATCCAATCACTTCGTACACTACAACTGCTACAATAGCCACGGCTGCCCTGGGGTAGGCTGACAGATACGCGGCAAGTTTGTGCCACTCTGAATGATTGGCGGTGGACAAACACCAATCAAGTGTGTAGATGGTGCCACATTTTTTGATGCCTAGAGCACTAATAATTATTTATGCCAGTAGAATAAATGGCATAAATAATGGGGCGGCTGTAAAGTGCCAAACTGCCGTTGTGTCCTTAGAGAAGACACTTCACCCCCATTGCCTAGAATGAGTCTGGTGTGTGTATGAAAGGTTGGTGGTGGTCGGAGGGGCCGATGGCACAGACTGGTCGCTTCTGTCAGTGTGCCCCAGGGCAGCTGTGGCTACAGTAGTAGTTTATCACCACTGTGTATGAAGTGAATGAATAATGACATGTGAAGCGTCTTTTAGTGTCCAAAAAAGCGCTATATAAAACCGATGCATTATTATTAATAATGTTAAACTTATAGATGCATTATCTTCTGAATATGAAAATTGAGATGCCATTCCCCAAATTTCTCCTTTATTTTTTATTCAATACCGCCCCCTCTAGTCGTCACTAATTGGCCTTATATTTATCAACCTGTCTTTTTCACACATACACAAGAAGTTTCTTGTGTATGTGAAATTTCTGGCTCGATGTTTAGTTCCCCCCCGATAAAAAATAAAGAAATTCCTTAAAATTCAGCACACTTTTACTCTCACCTCACTAAAATCTCGATGCTACATTTTCTCTGACTACGACAACATGGCAACACTAATGAAGTAAAATGAACTCTGAAAGTCGTCGCTATTTTTTTCTTTCTCCCTTTTTTCTGTTAAAATAAAAAACACGTGCAAAGTATGGAGTCTTAATTGCGCTTGTGGAGTCTGTGGTAGGTGCGTGTGTGTGCGTGTGTGTGTGCTTGTGTCTCATTAGCACACAGCGCCTGCTTCTATGTAAATAATGTCCTCGCTCCTGAACACTACTGTACCGGGGCGCACTGACAGAGCTGTCTCGGGCTGGCACACTGCACTTTTGTTGCGCATTGGGCTGATCATCTTATCTCCTGTCAGCGCTGGAGTAAGATTGTAGGAAGCGAGCCCATGGTATTTTGCGCGTACACACACACACACACACACACACACACACACACACACACACACACACACACACACACACACACACACACACACACACACACACACACACACACACACACACACACACACACACACACACACACACACACACACACGTTGTATCTAGTCTCCCCTCTCTCTCCTCTTTGCCACTCACTCTTGTTTTCTCCTCCGAGCCGCTCCCCCCTCCCTCCATCTCCCTCAGTAAATGGTGCCGAGCCAAAGACTAATTATTACAGGCAATCATTTGGACATGAAATACCCACTTCCTGCGCGCCACTCTTTCCCGCTCCCTTCCCGCGCCAACTCTTTTATGCTCCTGCAGTCACATAATGGCACACACACAGAGTAATTTCATTCCTTGAAGTCCATTTTGCAGGGAGCAGTTATTGCTTTCTGAGTGCGACCTTGGGGTCTTCGCTGTAAGCACAAGAAGTGTCCATCTTTGACGCAAACGTATAGTGTGGCAAATGAGGCGCAGAAATCTGGTCTTGTGAATCGTCTTTTGGCTTAACCCGAACAGCACAGAACATGTCAGTTCTGCTCCATGTTTGCTGTGTGATGTCATGATTCATGAGTGTTAAAAGCTGGGGTCCCTAATTTTCAAAGCACAAAAAATGAAATGTGTAATAAAATCCATGTAATGGTTTCTCATTCTCAAAGCAGTTTTCTTCCATCTGTAGTTTTCACATGTATGTTTTAAAAGACCCAAGCACTCCACACACGTGTCAAATACTCACTCACAGGGCTCTTTCTTAACATTTTCCAAAGATGAGACATTATGTTGTGGTCTGATTAAAAGAAAATGGCACAAATATATGAAACTAAAATGTTGGGTTTCCCACCTTTTTAAAAGAAAGCAAAAAAATTCCTGCTCATTGCGGTCTGCATAAGTCCATTTACCTCAGACTGTTTAAGTATTATTTGCATAAGATTGTTTGCTGCTCTTGATTGTATGCAAACCCTGACATCTGCGAATCCAAATACAGCATTCCTCTTTTATAGATTTTTCTTGAAATTTCTTGTGCGTAATTGTGTTTTCCGTGTTCCAGGTTTGGCAGTACGTGCACGGTGTTTTTCAATCATAACAAAATCAGTCAATTATTCGGCTGGTAGAAGTGTCTAGTCTGCCGTTTGATTTTTGCATTGCAAAAAGATATTTTGTAGCGCAATCATTTTCATTACTCTGTGCCATCAATAGTTATTTCTACTGTTGGTATTTTTTTTCCTCCCCAGTTTTGTGACGCTGCTTGGAGAACGCTCCGTGGCGATGCTCACATTAGTCCTCACCCCAGCAGTGAGTGACTTGGACCCAAGAGGCAATTCCACTGTAATAAAATCTATAAGGCAGACAGGGGCCATAACCCACCCTCTCCCTCTGCTCTTCAGCCGACTGGCAATGATAAATGAGTCAATTATTGGTTTGTGTGGAGGGGCAGAAGGGGGGCTGTTATTACCTGTTGCTGGCGTGGGTGATGTTGCAGTATTAATCATATTCTAATTTTCCCGCCATGTGACCTCCTACTCCTCCCACCACCATTCCTCAATCAATCTATGACCAGCCGCCGACGAGTTTGTTCAGATATTCTTTGAACAAGCTCTGAAAAACATGCATGAAGGTGTGGGGTGGTTAATCCTGCCCATTGAAGAATCTCTGTGGGGAGTGGGATGGCTTCATTTAGAACTACAAAAGACACTTGCTGATGAGGGAAGCCTCAGACTATGGTCTGACGCCAATGCTCAAAAGGAACATACACAATATCCGTATTTGCATAATTTCCTTTTTTTATTTGTTGTTGTTGATGAAAACACATCATGTTATAGTCTTTCTGAAATTGTGAACCGGACTGAAGTGATTAGGCAGGCTGCATCGTTGCAGAGGTGCTCTATATGTCCCAGGGAGTGCCCTTGCAGCAGCAGACCCCTTGGATGTGCCTTGGCTTCATTTCAGGATGAGAGCATGACTTTGTCTATTTCTGCTCTGAGGTGATAATGGGCTGTCAGCACCAACTTTTCCCTTCAGCTGTGTAGCAGAGCTATTAGTGCTCATGCAGCACAGTGATATTATGCATTTTGTCTTTGCAAAGGTAACTCTTCCTCTTCCTCTTTTGCAGTTTAAAAATGGAATGTGAGAAATTGGCCACAGAGAAGACTGAGATCCAGAGACACTATGTTATGGTGAGCTACACGCAGTCACAGCATTCACTCGCAACAAGTGTGTTGCCAAGCCTCTGAATCCCTTTCATCTGCTTACAGCTGCCAAACAACACCCACCAAACCCAAGCAGCAGACCACACACACACACACACGCGGGCACACACGCATGCGGACACACACACACAGAGATATTAGAGGGAGCAGAATAAACAGCGTTTACATGGGCGTGCAGCCTTCTGTCTGTTTGTTTGCTGTTCTTTTCATGTTTGAGAGAGCACATCCAGCTGGGCTGATGTATTCAGTCCAAACTGTGAATTTTATCATATGCTGAAAACTATTTATGCTTAACATTTTTGGGAAAAATCAACTTTCAAAGCCTTATTGTGCTTAGTATTATCGTTCGTTTGTATAGACATTTCATTAGCATATTTATCCTAAAAAGCTTTACGCTTAACATATGAAACTTGTGGCTCCATGGTTGTAAATGATCACAGTATATGTGATGTTCAGGTGTAAAATGTTTTGGGCACCTTAAGCCTTGTCGATGTCACTGTGCTGTGTGTGCACGAGCCGGCAGAGCGGTGCCTTGGCACAGAGCTGGACTTGAGGGATTGAAGTTTGGAACTGGAGGGAAGGGGCAGGCTGGCACCAGCGCAGGCCAGGTCTCCTTTGCTGGCGGCTGATTTGGGGGAGTTTGGACGTTGCTAGGCAACAGGCAAAACTTGGCACACTGACTGCAAAGCAAAGCTGCCAGCTGCCAGCAAAGGCGTCTTTTATGGAGGGATACAGAAAGAGGAGCGAGCACACACAAAGCACACTGATGCACACAGATACACACGCCTACACACTTCCACAGAGCTATCTGCCATCCCCTCTCCATCCTGCCAGCCCGCTCCCATGCCCAACTGCCAATCTCCTCTCCACAAGCAGCCACGCTGAAAAGCAAATGTCAGCCTGTCACTTTCCTGCAGCTGACTTTAAAACAGTCCCTTCGGGCCATGAGCGGAGAGCCTCACCTGTGAGGTGGAGCTGTGTTCTGCTGCTCTCACATGTAAAGACCTGGGTCAGGTGGTGGACATTAGCCATGCTTATGGCAGTTTTGGCACGCCCCACACTCTGGACACAGGCTGCACTCACCACGGCTGCTTTAGTCTTTAGCTTCACATCACTGCTACAGGTGAAGCTCAAGTGTAAATGAGAGATTGATGATTCTAAATCTTGTGTGAGTGTCTGAGACCATGGCGTAGATTGCCCGTCTTGATTGCTTCAGGGCAGCTGTGGTTATAGTTGTGTCTTACAGTCACCAAGTGTGCACTGCCACTGAATGATTGAAAAGACTACATTTTAAGCATCTTTGTGACAATATGCTATTATTTTTCTCTTGCAGTATTATGAAATGTCGTATGGCCTCAACATCGAAATGCACAAACAGGTGAGTAGTATCAGTACTATTGATTATGTATGAAATAAAGTAAACATTATAACATGTCAGTCTTCGTGGCTGTCATTTCTTGAGCCTCTACCCTTGTCTTTCTCATGCCTTCTAATCCACCCCCTCTGACTTTTCATTTCCTCTTTTATGCTCTCTCTCTTTCTCTCAAAGACGAGATTTTATAGTTTGAGTTCTCTAACAAGAAATCATTGTGTGTCCCTGGAGTGGAGGCTATGGAGGGATTCTCGTCTGGAGGAAAAGTGAGGGGGTCATAATGCTTAGCTGCGACTGGGAAGAGGGTAAAAGAGGGAGAGGTGCAGGTGATGGTTGGAAAGAGAGACTGCAGAAGAGGAGGAAAAGGCATCAATAAATCACTTAAAAGAAAGAGTAGTGCTGTGTATGTGTGTGCATACGTGCACGGCAGAGTGGAGCTGTCAGCAAGACAAACAGCCTGCGGCCGTAATGATGTTGTCATGATCTCTGCGTGCATATTATTACAGGCTCAGGAGTACCTTATTGGATCCTACTTGTTTGTGTATTTTTTCATGGCAGTGCATGGTACAATGGTTGAGCAAATATGAGATTGACGGATATATTCTTTCCTTTTGCTGGAGATTTGGAAGGGAAATATAAATGGCCTTAATCAACCAGGATGGATGGTTTAGCTGGGTGTTATAGCGGCCTCACACATGCTCACACACACACACCTCTCCTCTCTTCACCAGTTCTTGCACACGCACGCACACCTCCACACCAGTCCTCTGACACACAGAGCTTCGGTGCTGAAGACGGTGACTCTTGTTTTCTCTTTCACACACTCGCTCTGTGTGGGCTGGCTGCGGCCACAGCAGATGCTGCCCATGAATATTTTAGCCCTGCTCCCTGGCAGAGTTTCCATTTGCATGGACCAGATGTAAGCAGCTGAAATATTTACCGCTCTGGCCCTGGGAAAAGCAGGCCATGGCCAGTTGTGTGTGTGTGTTACCTGTGCTTCTCCAGTGTGAGCACAATGTGTGTTTGTTTATTCCTCATGACGAGTTACGGCACCTCTTGGTTTCAGACGGAGATTGCCAAACGGCTGAACGTGATCTGTGCCCAGCTCATCCCATTCCTGTCGCAGGAGGTAAGAAAGTCGTCCGGTCTCGGCATGCCACAACCACCTCACACACTGTGTATAATCCAAATAAAATCAAAATGATTATAACATGAATGACACTGTAACAAAGGAAAGCCCAAATATTAAGCAAGTGTGACTTTTTCCCCACAGCATCAACAGCAGGTGGTCCAGGCTATGGAGCGCGCCAAACAGGTGACCATGGGGGAGTTAAATGCTTCGATAGGGGTACGTGGGCTCCCCCCTCTGCCTCATAGCGTGTGTACCTTACCTCCCATATTATTTTCTTAAGTTCATCCTTTTCCCTTCTGTAGACTACATTGATCATGTTGAAGTATTGGAGTTAACATTATACAATGATGGCTGTGTATTGGGGAGCCAAACAGATTTTAGAGATGGTTTGGTTTGAATCTGATAGTTAAAATAGACTTCTTTTCATCACCTTTACCTCTATTCTTCATGCCGTTTGAAAAGTCACCCAGAACTCTGTCCTGTCTCCTGTTTGTTGTGTTGGTCGTGTCTCCAGCAGCAGCTCCAGGCGCAGCACCTGTCCCAACATGCAGGGGGTCTGCCTGTGGGCCCACACCCCTCAGGTCTGCCCCACCCCGGCTTGGCCTTGGGTGGGGGCTCGAGTCTGCTCGCTCTGTCAGGAGCCCTGGGGGCTCAGCTGGCAGCCAAAGACGAGAGGGCACACCTGGAGGCAGCCGCTGCTGCCGCTGCAGCCGCAGAGCACCACAGGGGTATGGCTGCCAGAGTATTCTGCTTTTCTCACTTGTTGGATTAAAGGGGTTTGAAATGATTGCACGGTGACGTAACGTAATACTCCTGAGGGATTTAAGTCCACTGACTCGGCTAATGGTTTGTGTCTGCTCTGTCTTCCCCGGTACCTGCTCACTCTGAAATGCCTTGTGGAATGAGAAGACCGAGAAGCAGGACCAGTAAGTACACATCTGATGACATTGGTTTTATGGGTGAGAACAAATGTTTACGTATTCAAAACAAAACCCCCTCCTCACATTGAGCCATGACGTGCCCTTCTTGTCCTTTTTCCTGTTAGTAGGGCAATCGATCGCTGCTCACATTTCATCGCATTCATCAAAAGTGCTACGACATGATTAATGCAGCGACTCTCACCTCATTATCGCCCACCTCCCCCACCTCTCCTCCTCCTCCTCCTCACACTTCTCCATTTGCAGCCTGTCTGACTTGTTTTTCCCTTCGCGCAGAGCTCCCTGTCCAACGGGGATAAGGGTCGGCCTTCAGACTACCTCAGCAACGGCAAGAAGAGGAAAGTGGACGAGAAGGAGTTCATGACGGACTATGTGAGCACCTCACATTTGTAACCAAACTCCATTTTCATTTTATAATCACAACAGAAAGTACCCAAATGACCCTGATCCAAAGTCTCCAATCCCCCAGTTCACAATAGCATGTGTGGACCCTTTAACATCAACCACAGCTTGCAGCCTTCTGTGGTAGTTCTTTATCCTCCGTGATGGTAAAGCTGCCCATTCTTCTTGGCAAAAAGCCTCCAGTTCCTGTAAATTCCTGGACTGCCTCGCTTGACCAACATATTTGCCTTTAGTCCACACATCGGCTCAATATAATCAAAAAGGAAAACAAATTTACCAGGCAATATAGGGCCCCAGAACACAGAACCACTAAAGCTGAGTGGAGATTAAAAAAAAGTGTTTGTGTTCCTCAAAAAATGGGCAACAACTTTCACAACTATATGTTAAAAGTGGCCACAAACCCAGGCCTGTTGTGTGCGTGTGTTCATCTCCTGCATCATATTTAAAACCATATCTGTTTTTGTCTATTCAGGGCAGCGACGCAGACAAGAGTGACGATAATTTGGTTGTGGATGAGGTTAGTAAGCAGCTTGATGGCTTTCCCCGCATACATCACACTCAGCAGCAGGACCTTTTGAATAATCAGGACTTTGACTGTGTCTGCCTGCCGTTGTGATTGTCGCACACGCTCCACTCTGCATGCAGCGTTTTTTCTATTCATAACTACATGCATGATTGAAAAGTATTTACAAGCCACAACATCAGAGTCGTTTTTAGTCTTGGCGTTTTGGGCTGCCGCAGAGGAATGCCGTCGATGTCAGTTGTCGGGCTGTTGTGCCGTTGCGATGAAAGGTTTTACATTTCCTTGTTGGGTGGGTCTTTATGGGAAAACTTTACGCTGCCAGAAACTTCAAGCTATTATGTGTTCAGCTGCGAATGAGAAATCGATAGGAAGAGCCGAGTTGGCAACAGCAGATAAAAGTAGCAGTGATGGCGTGCTTCTAGTATAGTCCGCCCTGTGCAGAACACTGGAGATCGATCCATATGGGTGTGCTGCGGAGGCTGTGGATTTTTATTGTTTCAAAGTTTGGCCGGTTAATTTAAAAAAAGTTTAGTTTATTGCTCATCTTTTGCATCTTTCATCTTCTGTTTGAATAATATTTACTGTTTGGTTCGTCTGGACAAATGGTTATCTTTGGATTTAAAAAGAACTGTCAATGGATTATGGTTTTTTATTGTTTCAAGTAAATTTTTAGTTTTCTAAAGAAAATTAGGTGTAACATGTCATGGGAGAATATGATGCTGTTATGATACCGGCAATCGGAGCTTCCACCCAATTCACAAAGCACGAGTCCCTCACTGATCCTACTGCAGGTGGTGTAGTTTGCTGCTCCTTCAACGAAGATATGACTGCGGTGTTTCGGCGGGGGCTTCAGGCTAAGTGGGGTTAAGTGTCTTGCCCAGGGACACATCGACAGCAGAGATCAGTGGGAGCAGATGACATGGGTCGTGGGGGGTTCGAATTCGCGACCATTAAGTCCAGAGACCATTGCTCTACCAACGGAGCCACTGTCAGTTAGCCGGACGGGTTCATAAAAGCAACAGATTTAAAGTTTTTTTTCTTCCAAATAAATGCATGTTTTGTTGTGGACTTTGCAATCTTGGACATCTCTCTGAACTTTGCTTGTTCAGTGTTATCACATACTTCCTGCTGATGTTGAACTGTCCTTATATGGTCGTTCAGGATCCCTCGTCTCCGCGCAGCGTGCAGTCCTATTCCTCCAGGGAGAACGGCCTGGACAAGATGCCCCCGTCCCGTAAGGAGGGCCCTCCACAGGCCAGCCCCACCTCCCTGGCCTCCTCCAGCAGCGCCACGTCCCCCTCCCGTGGCAAGGAACCCCCACAGGTACACACCCCCCACCCTCATTCTCCAGCTCTACCACAAAGTCCAGGGAACCCTGGTGGTTTGGATGGCGGCCAATTGCAAAGACTTAATTTGTTTGTGATGAATGCATGTAGATGTTTTATTTTTCAATCTTCCATTGAAATATCTTCTTCTGGTTAAAGCCAGGGTACCTTACTTTCAAACTAAAATTAAATTATAATAAAATCCGCCTGAGTTATAGTTCCTAGCTCTCAAAGTAGTTCAGTTCTATCACTAGGTTTCAAAAGGTTGGCCTTTTGAGGTTGGTTGAATTGATAAAAAGGAACAAAACCCCAAATGTAACTATTTTAAATGCTATCTCCTCAAAATTGACGGCAATTTTCCCGCTGTGGGAAGAATAAAGGATCTCTTAATCTTAAAACGGCACAGGACAATGGTTGAACTGTAGCTATTTAATCATAATTAATCAAATTCGCGCTGTCTCAATAGGTTGTGTTCATGTGACATCACAATACTCATTAGAGCCTATATTTCAACGTTGTGGAAGGCAGCTGAAAAATCTGTCCCGGTAACTATGGTGACAGTCAGCACTCTAGTCTGAGTTTAGAGGTCATTGCTCTGTAATCCAGGGGCTATTCACAGGACAAAACTATCACTGTCCACACCTTATTTGTCGGTACATATCAACTACGGAGACATTCTTTTCTCAGTAATGTGTCTAGAAGTGGTATTGCCACCTTCACATAATACTGAAATGGAATTCTACAACACGAACCTATAAAAAAAAATTGAGAAATAATCCAAATGAATAAATCCAGCATGAATCCAATTCAAGCGGCGTCGGCTATAAACAAGTTCGACACACCGTGTATTCTTCCGCTGGTGTCCCGTTTCCCCACGACACATCCTCATTGTCATTCCTCTGTGCTTCCTTTGCTTTTCTTTGCCATTCCTTTCTGCCGGTGACATGTGCCATCCCTCAATGCCGATTGTCTGGGCCCCATCCATCTACACCTAAAGACACCAGTGTTTACTTTGCGTTCACACTTGATTTACCTCCCTTTTGTGCTAATCCCTCTTTACTTTGGCAGAGGGAGAAGTCCACCACACCAGGCATGAAGCCGGGAACACCCATGTCCCAAGACTCAAACACCCCTGGACCGAGCGGACCACCCCAGTTCAGACCTGTCCCGGGAAAACCTGGAGTCGACCCCCTCGGTAAGCTCAAAACGACAGCCAAACTTTGCTGATGGAAAAGCAGCTCCGGTATTTTAATGTGTCATTATGTCCACCGTGGCTGAGGTTTCCACTGTACACTGGGGATCAATTATAAATGTGAATGCGTGTTTGCTGGGACGACAGTTACTCACCGGCTTTGTAACATGAAGAGATTGTATCAGCGCTGTGGCCACAGTAGTTGTTATGGGTGTCAGCCAGATTCCACTGCCGACCGCCATCTGGACATAATAAGCAGCTGTGGGCAGGAATATTCCGTGCGCCTCACGTTTTAAATGGAAAGATTAGGAGAGGTGATGGGCTGTGACTGCGAGCGGCTTCATAATGAGCCTCCATCGCCTCCACTGTATCTTCCTCACATCACCTGTTTGTGTGTGTGTATATATATACATGTATTATTGTGTGTGTGTGTGTGTGTGTGTGTGTCTGTATGTATATACCTGTCTGCCTGTCTGTCTGTAGGTGTGTGTTTGTGTGTGCACGTGTGTCTATATAAGTGTGAGTGTGTGTGCAAATGGAGTGCCTCCCTGCAGGGCTGTTCTTTGAACAGCAGGGGGCAGTGTTGGTCCAAGGCTGCAATCTGCTTTGTCTGTGGTTTTCAGTCTTAACATCTTACATCGAAGCCCTTTGCAGTTAATTTGATATTTACTATAAAATGGTATTTTAAGTTATTTTTCTGGGGAAAGTCAAAACACACATTAACACCATCAATATATATTTAGATTCTTATGTTCACTCTTATTTCTCTTCTTGCTGCAGCTCTGGGCTTGAGGAACCCTCTGGCAGTCCAGGGAGCATACCCTCCCGGGGTGTTTGGGCTGCCTCCTCCAGGGGTGAATGGAGAGCTGGCTGGGGCGGCGGCTTACGGCGGAGGACTTCACCTGGTCTCCCCCCAGATGAACGGAGCAGCAGCAGTAGCAGCAGCAGCAGCAGCAGCTGCAGCCGCAGGCTACGGCCGCTCCCCTGTGGTATGTTCCAGTTACTTTGTCTTGTCACGGGAGGTGTAATAGCTCAGCACATAGTGTACAGAGTGTGGGAAGGCAGCAGGCCGGCGTCTGGTGCTTTCTCCAGCTCTGACCTTGGCTTATTCTGCTGTGCTCTACACATGAGGAAAAGAGGGAGACCAAAGCATATTTACTTTTAGTAAATCTTACTCCTGGTCGGTCTTCTCTCTTCCTCAGGCTCCATAGCTTCATATATATATTGATTTCTCATCTGATTGGATATCTCAATGTGTTGTAGGTGGGCTATGAGTCTCCACACCCACACATGAGGGTTCCTGGGCTTCCATCCAGCCTGCAGTCTGCCTCTGGAAAACCGTATGTTATCTCCTCTCCTGGTGATCTTATGAATGAGCATGAGACCAATATATTGAGACTTCAGCCTTTGAGATAAGGATGTATGGCGTTTATAATGGTTGGAAATGAGCTACATTGTGATTATTAGTGCTTCACCAGTGTAATCTAAGTTTGAAAATAGGAGTCTGTTATTTATTTTTACTTCCTGTGCTTTTCCAGTGCATACTCATTCCACGTGAGCGCAGATGGGCAGATGCAGCCCGTGCCCTTCCCCCCTGATGCCCTCCTGGGCCCGGGGATCCCTCGACACGCACGGCAGATCCACACGCTGAGCCACGGAGAGGTGGTGTGTGCCGTCACCATCAGCACCTCCACCCGCCACGTCTACACTGGAGGAAAAGGCTGCGTCAAAGTGTGGGACATCAGCCAGCCGGGCAACAAGAGCCCCATGGCCCAGCTCGACTGTCTGGTGAGAAACGTGTGGCCAAAGAGCATCTGTAGAACTGGAATCATGACTAGAATTGTTTGATCGCTCCTTTCAGAACCGAGACAACTACATCAGATCCTGCAAACTTCTCTCTGACGGCCGGACTCTAATAGTGGGCGGTGAGGCCAGTACACTGTCCATCTGGGACCTGGCCACGCCCACTCCTCGCATCAAGGCGGAGCTGACGTCGTCTGCGCCCGCCTGCTACGCTCTGGCTATCTCCCCCGACAACAAAGTGTGTTTTTCCTGCTGCAGCGACGGCAACATCGTGGTGTGGGACCTGCACAACCAGACTCTCGTGAGGTGAGACTCCACACCACAAACTACCAATAGAGAACAGAAGGCTGCTGATGGTTCCTGAAAGTCTGGGGGAAAAAATGGGGATAAGTCAGAGGATGATGTTAGATTAAAATTACAGAAGACTTTCCTCTTAAAGGTGTTTTCTGACTCCTCCCACAGACAGTTCCAGGGCCACACAGACGGAGCGAGCTGCATCGACATCTCTAATGACGGCACTAAACTGTGGACAGGAGGACTGGACAACACTGTCCGCTGCTGGGACCTCCGAGAGGGACGCCAGCTGCAGCAGCATGACTTCACCTCACAGGTGCGTTACTGAAGCTATACTCTTGAGCACAAGAGTATAGCTCTTCATGCATAGCATGATATTTCAAACCTGTACAGCACATTTTCACTCAATCTACATAGTATGGTGTTGGATGAAGCGCACACACTTGTGTTATTCCAATCCCCAATCACCCATTCAACACAACACAATATAATACAATATAATACACTGCTGCTGAATTCCTCTCCTCAGTGTGGTATTATTGTGCTGTACATTGTATATATAGTAATACAATACATGACCACCAATGAAATGAGTTCGGTAAGACATGCTCAGACATGACACAGGCCCAAACACTCTGACGCACTGCTCTGCGTTGGGGGCTTCACTCTTTGTCCTCCACGTACTTCTGTGTTTCCTTTTTAAATACTTTCATATTTAACATTGAACACGTTTTTACCTCATCTGCTGTTTTTTGTACAACTTGGCAGATGAAGTAAAAACTCGTGAGCCTCTGTGCAGAGAGATGCACATCAATTGAAAACTAGTTTCTAAAGAGGTTGTCTGTTTGACTTGTGCAGATCTTCTCCCTGGGCTACTGTCCCACGGGCGAGTGGCTGGCTGTGGGGATGGAGAGCAGTAATGTGGAAGTGCTGCACGTCTCCAAACCAGACAAGTACCAGCTGCACCTCCACGAGAGCTGTGTCCTCTCACTAAAGTTCGCCTACTGCGGTACGTGGTCTCGGCGCTTTCCTCCGCTCCCTGTGATTAAACACCTCCTTGTCTGATTCACAAACACATGTCACCATCCTCTTGCTGTGTTCCTGTCTGTGGCTTTATCCGTAACAGCGGTGTGTTTTGTTCCGTAGGTAAATGGTTTGTGAGTACTGGCAAAGATAACCTCCTGAACGCATGGCGGACCCCGTACGGCTCCAGTATATTCCAGGTAGATGGCTGATAACTTGTACATTGTGTGTCTTTGTTGGCTGGATCCTTCCCGCTCACATCTCTCCTTTCCTCTGTGTCCAGTCCAAGGAGTCGTCCTCGGTCCTCAGTTGTGACATTTCTCCCGACGATCAGTTTATCGTCACCGGCTCTGGGGACAAGAAGGCGACCGTGTATGAAGTCATCTACTGAACAGCCGCGAACGCATCAGGACCTAACGACTGCCCTAATGACTGAAAAAGGGCAACACGGCATGGAAGCAAGAGACATTTGACTTGTTCTGCAAAAGGCCGAAGAGCATCCAGTGACTACCTTGCAAAAAGACAAATTGGTTCGCTGTAGCTGTGCGACTGGGATTCCTCCAAAGAACTTCATTTTGGTTCCATTTTTTCTTTTCTTTCTACAAAATAAAACCTCCTGTAGTAATCGAAAATTAGCAAAAATAAATATTTTTTTAGACTTTTGTTTTTTTCCTCCAAATGACTGGACCACTTTGAACGAGGAGATGGCAGGACAGAGGCTGCGGTGCTGGATAACCACTATTGTTTTCGCTGGAACGCTCCCGGTGCCGACCTGTTGCTTTGGTCCAAATCGTACACAGTGACTGGACTGTCACGGCTTCAAGAGTGACTTACGGAGATGTTTATGAACAGAAAGCCCACATTGAAAGAGAGAGAGAGAGAGAGCTGACATGTTGAGATATGAGGATGAGCCCTCAATCATCGGCGTCCATACTGTTTTATTGTCTTGGTTACGGCACATAAACTGACATTGGAGTTCGTTATGTACATGTAAATAAAGTTCTTTAAAAGTTTAAAAGTTTCCCCATCTTCTGTTTAGGATGTAGTGAACTGAAAGCAGGGCTGAAAGATTCTCATTATTGACAAACACTGCAATTATTTTAGTTCTTTGCAAACAAAGAGTCTAGAGACAAACAAAACACTTGAATTTGGGAACATTTCTCTTGATTTGATTTTAAAGATTTGGAGCAAGTGTCTTTTGTCTTGTGGTCGGGAGAAGCATCATTCTATGAGACAAATATTTATACACGTAAGGCAAAAAAAAATCTATTTAATTCACAGTGAATCTTTTATTTCTACTAGATTGTTTTCTACTTTGGGCTGTACAAAATATTTTGACAATGATTAGTTGACCAATTTATCATTTCGACAAATCTAAGCAGTTTAGGTCTTTAAGTCAATGAATATGGGATTTGATATTTAAAATTAATAGTTTATAGTTTGGATTTGACCAAAACAAAACTCGGGCGATGCCTCTGGAGAAAATATTTATAAATGACTTGTTACACCTTCTCAGTGTATTTACGTCTAATGTAAGGTTAAAAAAACAGAACTATTGCAAGAATCAATTGGTTTTTTTGATTAATAATTGCTATACAGCCCTAGTTGTACTACAGGTTAGAACTCTACGACCAGTTTTTGAATATTATAAGGTAATTGTTTTGTATATACACTTGTTCAATTGTAACTTATTTGACATATTTTGAGTTCATGTGGATTCTGGCTGTAGATGACGAGTGTTGTTGGCAGGAGATGCTGAGTGACACTTAAGTAGAAGAGCCCTGTGGATCTGGATCAGCATGTTGATGGATAAACTAAAAGGACATCAACTCTGAGATGTAGCAGCAGCTATTTCTATGTGGACTAAAGCTTTGAATGAATCTTTGCTGTATCCCCACGGGGTCCCCACACACACACACACACAGTGGAGCTGATGGACCTGATGATGCTGCTGAGGAGGAGCATTGCATAAGTTTAAAATCTGAGTGAAGATGAGAAGCTCCTTTGAAACCTGCCTCTGGGGCTGGGACTGGTGCCACAGTCTGGATCAGGAGGCCAGTGCAGTACTGGGAGAAGGCTGGAGCTGTCTTTCAGTCAGTTCTCCTGGATGAGAGAAACTGCACTGATATGTTTAGCACAATAGATTTGAGAAAAGTGAATTCTAAATGGATTCTTGTATGTAAGTCATAACTGACCTTTATACCCAAGGTCTACTGACACATAAAGACTTTCAGAGTGAAGCTGTGAAAATCTTGTTGAATTGCAAGAAATCTTCACCGTTTGCCAAAGGTGTGCATCAATTCCTCCGTTTCTTTGTCCGATTTGACTTGGAAGCAGAAAATCTAAAGGAGCATTTGTTGAATATTTGTTTAAAGCCAGAGGTGTGTTCGCAGTGAGGTGCCTGCGGATTTGAAAATATTCCGATGGAAAAAGGATGTGAATGGAGCTCCCTGTGATGAAAAAATAACTATATTTTTGTTGAAAACAGAAACTCAGATCCTGTTCCGTGCTGGGGCTTTTAGCGGAAATAATCTTCAAACTCACAGCGTGCAGGACTTGTTTATTTGTTCTTTCGCCATCAAAGATTCAAGCAAGGAAATCTGCAAGCTCCAACATGAGGGATCTACAACAGCGATGTACCCGGGGGTGGAAGGGATAAAGTAGAAGGTTTGTCGTAAAATATCTCCAGCTATTTGTAGAAAAGGGAAATTACATTATTCTCAAACATAAGGCTTTTCCCCACTCCGGCCCGGGTTTAAATGCTGTGTCCATCCAGTGGGAAAGGTAGGCCTGTTGTGTGGACCCGTGTTGGCTTTTCACCGCAGGGAAGACCGGAACATGTCAAAATAATTGTTTGTAAAATGTATTTGTAAATGTTCACTTGATTGTCCCCATATGGATATTTGTCTTCTGCATTTGACACATCCTGATGCCACGAAGGTTTACGTCAGGAGCAGTAGTAAAGGGCCCGGGGACACATCTCACAGATTGGTGCTCTTCTTGGTCAGGAATATCGGAGCTGGTGGATTATACCTATGGTACATTTATTTAGTGGTGGGGACACTGGAGCACCCGGAGGAAACTTACGCAGACACACAGAAAGGCCCTGTTATGAGTGGGATTCAAACCCAGGACCTTCTTGCTGAGAAGCGAGATTGCTATCCAGTGGGTACCTTTTTGTCAGGTGCTCATCCGGATCAGCAGTGAAAAACATGTCAAAATAAATGTCAGACATTAAAAATATGTTTCAAAAGTCACAGGGAATCCCATAATAATGGAATGCAATAAACATCCTTCACTTAGAGCAGTAAAAACTTTTTGAAACAATTTATTTTTACAGGACAACTTTATAAAGGAAAGAGCAGCACTCACCCAAACACAGTGTATCATATCGCTGTCATTTTGCAAACTATTGTCCCCTGTGCTTTTGTTTGTAGTTTCATGACCTTCATCACCTGACCTTAACATGCAAGCTAGAGACAGTTTGGCTATTTTACTGTCTAATTACCACAACATTTGGTCAGCGTGTTCCCACTTAGACACCTCGGCAAAAAGACCAAGTCGGCAGGATAAATGCTGAGTCGTCGTCTAAGGATTCTCCATATTATAATGAGTTTGAAAACAAAGCTTTTAAACAGAAGGGACGGGGGACATGTTTGTCCCAGATGTTCCGAATATTAGTGTGGACGGATGCGTTTTTGACGTGGGGACATCTTTATAACACGTTGTTTTTGCAAACAAACAAAGGACTAAAAAAAGCAACATAGGAACATTAATCTAGATTTTGGTCTTGTTTTTGGTCGACGCATTATTTTTGCTTATAACGTGTTTTGAGAATCTTTCATTTTTTTGAAGATCATATAACGTTGAAATAAAAAAACATGGCTCACTCCACACTAAACTGTACCAATGTGTTACATTTGGGTCAAGGACACGGAAAAGTCCCAAAATGTCCGCGGCCGTTTCTGCAGACTGTTCCCAGCAGCCTCTAGTTTTGTTCCAGATGTTTGTCCAGAGAAGAACACACTACCCCCGGACTATTAACAGTGCTCCAGACAGTCGTTTTGGACGTAACAACCAGTGGACGCAATGTGTTAAGTCCAAAACGCCCAGTTATAACATTTCTTTGCGTAATGTATAATCTATAATTAGAGATTGATTAACGTTATCCCCAACCATTGAATTATCTTCCCTGTTCTGTTCATTAATCCATTCACAAGCCTCCAGCACGACAAGTCCAACATGCAACAGTTGTGTCCCACATTTCAATACATATTACTTGAAACAGTTTTGAGCTGTCCATCTGAGATTATTCTAAGTATATATTTATAAACTACATAGTATTATAGAACTATGACGTATAAAATGTTTGATTTTTAAACATTTTTATTGCCACTTGAAGTAAGATTTGTCACATTGTACAGTTTAGCGTAGAGTGAGCCATATACACCTCTTCTTCTGGCTACATTTGTGGGGATCTTTCACTGGATGGATTTGTAAAGTAGAAAACCTCATGAAAGGACGGGGATGTTGCTTTAACGCGAGCTTCACTTTACTCTTACAGTGTGCAGTGTTGAATCAACTATTTCTTGTATATCCATTTCATCTCAGAGAAATGGAGAGATGTGCAGGCCAAGAAACATTTAGTTAACTTGGAACTCTTTGCTGCTCCCTCGGCTACAAAAGAGGAATTTACAAATCACTCAAAAGAATTTACAAACGCACCTGTTGAAAGAAGACCTTTTCAAAGTGACAAAGACGGCCAAAATGAAAGGACAGGTTTTCGTTTATTTTTTTACACACATATTTTCATGTACAGCACAAGGGGAACGCATCAGGAGACAGTGCAAGTAAAACAAAGTTCCTTGGCTTGTCAAAGAAATACTACATCATTATTAAAAGTGTGGCAGAGGCAGCAGACAATTACAATGGAGAGAATCAAATACAATGAAAAAACTTGCGTTATACAAACAGATGCATAGCCTGTATACAGCATCATTCAGAATATACAAGTGTGTGTGTGTGTGTGCGCATGAGGACAGGTCCATCTACTCAACTGTACACCACCTCTCTCCTCATTACACTGTTTCTGACTCCACCCTTTCAATAAATATATTTAAACATGAAATGAAATGTTCCGAAATGTAAAAATATGTTGGGACATGACCTGCTCTCCCACGAGGACATGTATATTCATTACAGTCATTTCCATTATTACATAAACAAACCTGGAACATGAATATCAACGTGTGACGTTTCAGCCTCATGTATTCTTGGGTTTCATTAAACTGGCCAGTAGGGGGCGATAGAGCAGAGGTGGGACAGTTTGGCTCCCATTGAAAACCATGTAAATCGTGTCTGTTTTGGAGTCAAAGGCTCTCCTCCTGTGCG